CAGAAATAATAAACACAGCAATGATGAGACCAGTGCCCTATAGGGGCAGTGTAGTAGCATTGTGGTTTAACTCGTCACGCTGAAGATTGAGCTTTGACTCCCACAAGGTAAAATGTGTGAAGCCCATTCTGGTGTCCGCTGCCGTGATATGGCGAAAGAAGAGTAACTAACTAACTAACTCACTCACTCACTCACTCACTCACTCACTCACTCACCCACTCACTCACTCACTCACTCACTCACTCACTCACTCACTCACTCACTCACTCACTCACTCACTCACTCACTCACCACTCACTCACTCACTCACTCACTCACTCACTGTTATGTAATGGGTTACATGTTTATTGAAGTGTGCAGGATAAAGATTTTCAGTTCCATTATTTGTTGATTTAGCCTCACGCTGACTGCACTGATTTCTAGGTAACATCTAGCCACGCTAATAGTTCCTTTGACTGAGACCAAACAAAAACAATGCGTTCCCCTACCGACCCTAATCTGGGGCCACTGACCCTGAACTATTTGTCACCTTCCGGTCTTGTCCGCATTTTATACACCGAGCATACGTTTGGATTGATAAGAAAAGAAAGCAAAACGTCAAACTACCATATTCTTGGATGGACAGATTGGGAATCCCACATATTTGTGGAGGGGACGTCACCAGACTCAATCATGTTGACACAGACGGTATATCCACAACAACATAAGACCTCTGTTATTCATCATACTAATGTGTTTGTCCAAGCAAACTGGATCAAGTAGAGTCATAATCCTTGCAGTCAGTTTGTTGACAGTCAACAACAATCGAATGCGTATCGTACTGGAAAAATCTGAGCTGACATTACTAGAATTCCAACCCGAACGGGGCCCCATTGTTGTGATCAGCTGAGGAGCACTTCCTCGTTTGTGTTTGGGAAATCTATACTTCCTGTCTCTGCCCACACCCTATCATAACGAAGGGAGACAGTTCACCAGTGCTGCAAGCTCTTGTATATAGCAGATTGTGGATTGCAGATTATTTCCAATCATCGATTTCATCTGGCTTTTTCCCTTTTTGCTTATTTCACACTTGGACGCTATTGATGTTTACTGTGAGGTGTACATGGTATTGATAGGCCTACTGTAGCTGCGTTTATTCTCATTCAAGTAGCTTCATGAAAGTAAGTATGAGTTATTCACCTGAATATTTTCCTTCTTTGTACATTTCTTGTTGAATTTATTCATATGTTACACAGCTGGGTGATTTTATTCATGGTTGAGCGTAGCCGTTGAACATTATGATTAAAGTGGCCAAGGTTGGTATTTGGGTGACAGCTCCCCCTTAGGGAGTCCCTCAGTGAATGCCTCACTTCTCGACATCACATATTTTGTGTCCATGACTTCAACAGGTCCTTGTCCTCATCATGTGTCTTAATGATATAGAAATAATGACCATGTCGGGATGGTTTGGACGATCAATATTGGTGCGATCTGTTTCCTTCCTCAGATCCACGTACACAATGTCTAACTTGGTGTATTATCGGATGTATAACATGCAGGAATATCTTACAGTGTGATGAACTGATTTGATAACGCTGTGAGAGAAGCTCTATGGTTCTGTTTTGGATTATACTCGCATATTTTCGGTTGAGATGACCACTTGGCTAATGGTTGTGTCAGGATTCTGTGATTAATTGAGTTATGCTTTCACGGGAGGATTTCTATTTCTGACGATACCACACAGGTTATGGGAGTGGATGTGGTGTGGAGAGTAACATCTTCTTACTGAACTGGTTATAGCTAAGACTTTAGACTTGCACAAGTCTCTGAGGCAATATCTATTAGTTAAAATCATAAGTCCTAGATTATGTAAGTAATTAGAACAAGTTGTCCCTATAAGACACTGTACTGTCCTCATATCTAGACTTGCCTAGTAGGAGGATAGAATTACTACATGGACTTTTCTTTACAGTACAGCCTTCAAGCAAGGCTACTAAGTCTTCCATACCAGGTGTTGTGAAACGATGAGAATCCCCCTAGGTTGTGATACAGTGATGGTCACTAGGAAACATAAGCCTCAATTTAATCTAATTTTGAAAATAAATGACTATTGGAACCCAACAACAACCTATCTGATTAGATTGAGTCAAGAAAACTCATTATCACTTGATAATTCTTACTCTGAATTTTGTTTACATTTTCACTCCATACAACAGGCCATGTCTGTGTATGTGGTTGTGTATCAGTAACACACAACATGATATTCCTTTCGTGACATGGAAGGGGCGGTCGGGTAGCCTAGTGGTTAAAGCGTTTGCTCGTCACGCCGAAGACCCGGGTTCGATTCCCGACATGGGTACAATGTGTGAAGCCCATTTCTGGTGTCCCCCGCCGTGATATTGCTGGAATATTGCTAAAAGCGGCGTAAAACCATACTCACTCACTCACTCGTGACATGGAGAAGTGTGATGCACAAATACTTCTGGAGTGATCACAGCCTCTTCTTCTAATTGCTGATGCAGTGGGCCCACTTTTCCATAGGCAAATCGGGGTGGTCGGGTACCCTAGTGGTAATAATGTTTGCTCTACACGCCATTTCTGGTGTCCCCTGCCGTGATATTGCTGGAATATTGCTTTATGCACTTTAAAACAATACTCACTCACTCAATAGGCAAATCGGGGCTGTCGGGTAGCCTAGTGGTAATAGCGTTCACTCAACATGCCGAAGACTTGGGTTCAATTCCCCACATGGGTACAATGTGTGAAGCTATTTCTGGTGTCCCCCGCTGTGATATTGCTGGAATATTGCTTTATGCGCTTTAAAACCATACTCACTCACTCAATAGGCAAATTGAGGTGGTCGTGTAGCCTAGTGGTAATAGCGTTCACTCAACATGCCGAAGACTTGGGTTCAATTCCCCACATGGGTACAATGTGTGAAGCTATTTCTGGTGTCCCCCACTGTGATATTACTGGAATATTGCTTAATGCGCTGTAAAACCATACTCACTCACTCACTCACTCAATAGGCAAATCCCTGTGAGTGTTTAGGACATGGTCACTATTACGTGGTATAAAACCAATATATTTCCATATATGGGCAAGTTTCCGTGCAGGTTGCAGGAAACACTGAGAGGTTTTGCATGCAGCACAGTGTATGTATTATAATGCTTTAAGAGATTGACAAGTATCACGATGTAGATGCCTATATCATGTTTCACTGCGCAGTCACTCTAATTGGGGTCATGTCAAAACTAAGAACATTAATTTCCATAAAGTATTCAAATGGTCAGATTATCTGTAGTGAAGCTAAATCAGTAGAAATGTGTGGTAGCCTTGTAATGACAGCTTTGACTCACAGTGCTATATTAAGATCTCCGTTGGCTTCACCCATATGGGTACAAGAGCTGGGATGATACACCAACTGTGGGATCCAATGTGTATCACGATACCTTACTCATGATCCGATATGTATCACAATACATGCATGTGCTCTTATCTGTGGCGCGTAAGCCATCTTTTTCATAGAGAGGATGGCCAAATACCTGGCACACTGATAAATTACAGTTGGCAGTGTGAAGTATGGCACAACAAATGAAAATATGTATGTTTTCACTATTAACTTGCACTACTGATTAGTGTTTAGTGGAACAGTTATTAAAGCAAACATTTTAGGTCAGAATTGATATTTTTACTTAATGTGCGACATTTGTATCGAGAAGTAAAAAATTGCGATTGACCGATGCATCGGTGTATCGTCCCACCACTGATGGGTACAGTGTGTGAAGCTCGTTCATGGTGCTGCCTGCTATGATATTGATACAAGTGATTTAAACCCTACTCCCTCACTAACTACAGGAAACGGTATCAAAACTGGAGGTGACAGTTGGAGTGTTCATAATAATGAATTCTGAATAATAATTCTGGCTTAACGCGTGACAATTGAAGTTGAAATATCGGTTCTTGGGTTTTGAGACAGTCCCCCACTTTGTTACATAATCTGCCCTTAAACAAAGCATGTCATTGAAGCCTGAAGCCAACTACTTGAGTGTAGGAAAAATGTACATTGTTTCATGCTAAGTGTGTTGTAGAAGTCCAACATTTAATTACGACAGTTACTTAGCCTTATATATGCTCACCGCCCAAAGAAACGTGAACCTTAGGAACATATAGAGAAGTATGTACGGTAAGAAGTGATGTTCCAATGTGTACCACTTAATGACAAAACTAACGATCAGTCAAGTGTTACCACAGTGTCTTTACTCTTATAACGATAAGCTGCACATGATTTCCAAACTTTACATGCACAGACTAATGGAGCATATCGAGTCATGGATCTGTGACATCACATGTGATGCGTTCATGAGCATCAGTTCCCAATACAAACAGAAGGTTCATTTGTGCATCGAACAAATGGAATATCTCTCAAATATGAGTAATTCTTCATATGAACCAACATGTATGGTATTCATGTATTCATGTTTCTTTTGTCAGTGAGTATATATATATATCTATATATTTAAGAATTGACTTTCACTGTGTGTGAGTTCATTGGAGTATGAACCTCATTAGAGTGAGGGCCAAACTGTATGAACATTGGAGCTTGCAACGACGTTCATACAATGTTTCCCCAGGAATGTTGAAGTAGTCCGTCAGTGTTTATGTCATTTCAAGAACCCGGTCTCGTGAAAAACGTATGAATGTGAAATTGTGTCGTTCATACACTTTTGACCATCAGTTTTGCGGTCATGTGACCGACCTCTCGTCCAATGGAAAAGCTGTATATTGTGTAAACTTCAAATTAAAAAATTATATATATATATATCCGTGGTGATATTTGCGCTGACTTGTTGTAGGGTGCTCTTGTAGTCTGTCTCACAGAGCCATGTTACTTTGAATAATAATATTTGTGTATGTCTGATGGAGGTAGATGTAACATTGGTATATTTCTGTTGGCGGTAGATGTAATATTGGTGTATTTCTGTGAGAGACGGATATAATATTGGTGTAAATTGTTCCAGGAACACAAGGAGAAGACGCTCCAGAGGTTTGCTGACATGCAGAACCAGGCCAACCACAAACACCCAGGTAAGTCAGGACATCTAGTTGCAGGGACTGTCAGTTGGCGTCAGCTGTGTGACTTACCCCCCACGTGGGGGAGGGGGTGTGTTCGGTACTGTCGGCTGGGTCTGTCAGTGACCCAGTTGTTGTCACCTGTGACAATTACCCCCACATGGGGGAGGGTGTGTCTAGCACTACAAGCATGCTAAGTTTGATACTTCTTCAATGAAATGTAGCCTCCCAGAAACAAGAAGAAGGAACTCTCTTGACAGTGTGGTGAGCCAGGTTTGTGTGTCCTGAAGCTTCTCAGGTGACATCGGGACACTTTTGGTAGGAAATGAATGTCTAACTGTGCTGAGATGGTTTGATTATTCCACTGGAAGTACCATATATGCATGTATGTAATGTGTTAAGCATTACCGAAACAAAATATACAGAGTGCTAAGTCATATTTCAATGTCCCTGTTCAGACTTGTCACTAGCGATTTTGGTAGAATTTAGTTTCAATATTTGGAATTTCATTAGCCAAGCTCACTTGACCAACTGGTCCCACCAGGGTATCGAGTTGTGGCTACATGAAGTCTATGTTCCACTCTCCCAGGTCTAGACGCTTTCCTTGCATCACTTTCCAACCCAAGTGACAAGGGGAGGCTACTCTATATAGACATCAAGGGGAGGCTACTCTAGATAGACTTCAAGGGGAGGCTACTCTATATAGACATCATTTCAAATGTCAGCTCAACAATTTTACTTATAACCAGAGTGGCAGTAGGGTAGCTGAATGGTTAAAGCATTCACTGGTCACACCAAAGCCCTGGGTTTAATTTCCCACATGGGTATTTAGTGTGAAGCCCATTTCTAGTTTCCCAGCCATGACATTGCTGGAATATTCTTTAAAAGTGGCATAAAACTATACTCACTCAGTTATGCCCCAAAGTGTTAGACAAAGCCTTTTTTGTTTTGCATAATAATTGGCAACAGACTTTGCTTACCTTGAGTGTGTGATCAACTGGATCCTTTCAGATCTGAGCCAGCACAGTTTGTGCATGGATGCATGTAGCCTTGATAGTATGGCTCGTTGCTTGCATGAATAACCATTGGTTAGTCAGGTCCTGGCTTAATGAGGGGTACTGGGGTAGCCTAGTTGTTAAGGAATCGTTCTTTGTGCCATAGATCCAGGTTTGATTCCCACGTGCGTACACTGTGTGAGGTCCATTCCTGGTGTGCCCCGTTAGATACTGCTGAATGTGACGTAAACCATACTAGTAGTGGGACGATACACCGATGCATCAGCGGATCAGGATTTTTTACTTCTCAATACAAGTATCGATCACTACCACACACTATGTTAAAAGTATTGATTCTTACCTGAAATATATTCTTCAGTAAAAGTTACTTTATTACTTGTCAAAATGAGAAGTGAAAAGAGATATTTTCATCCATTACGCCATACTGGACAATACCTGTAAATCGTTTGTGTGCCAGGTATTTGGCCTTCACATCAATGAAAAAGATGGCTTACGCACCACAAACAAGACCTCATACAAGTATCGTGATACGTATCGGATCATGAGCAAAGTATCGTAATGCGTATCGGATCGGATCATCCCATCCCTAAAACATACACAAGGCTTACCTTGTAAAAGCAGATATTAAGATAACTACCGTATTCGACGTAATAAGCGCCCAGGGCGCTCTCAAAATTAGAAATAGCGGGCTCTTATTAGAATATTGTTTTGGTGAAAAAACAGAGTTGAAAGATCATACATTTCGTAGTTTATGCTGACAGCCTGAAATGTTTATATACGACGGAGATTATTTTTCCTGGATTAAATTGCCCATAATTAAGGGTGCATATAACACACGAGTGCGTATTATAAACGAATAAATAAGTCTTGTGTACATTGATCAATGGGAAGGGGTGCTAATTGAGCTTGTTCACTAGCCAATATATTAGCAAATATCGTCGTGGGCGCTTATTAGAGCGGCGCGCTTATTACGTCAAATACGGTATGTGTATTTATCTCGCTATTTAAACCAGAATTAGCAATCAGCTGTACTACCCACATTTTCTCCCTGATCTACCAGTGAGTCAGTTAAAACATACCAAGTGTTCTAACTGAAAGAGTTTCGATGCAGTGAAACTGAAACTAAAACGATTATTAAAAACAGGATCAATGTTTTTGTGTTATGTTGTTAATTTTGCTGAATAATTTTTCCCCAATTTACCCTATCATGAGTAATTAGTTGAACTTTTTTTCAATAAATCCTTGCATAAGGACGACCTGTGATCCTGAATAAAGAACTCTGCATGTTTGTGCCCAGTCATGACCCTCCCAACAACCTGTAATCATTTCTCGCTTCTCCAACCACAGCCTCATAAATATTGTACACTCCATGTTAGAACTATCACTCATCTGTTCACGATCCGCAGGAGATTAGCTCTCACGTGATGGGAAATAAAGTAACTATTTCTGGTGTGTAATTATCAAGGACAGATTACAGTATCGATGAGCCAGGGTTTATATGTATATTGAAGTATCGAGACTTCATTTCTTTGATCACAATCTTAGTCCGTGGCACAGAACAAACACAACACAATCAGGTGTAAGATGTAAATACTGTATGGAGCTGTCGGTAGTAGTGTGAGGTGGTATGTACAATGAATAATGCCTGTGCCTGTGACAGCCTCCCTGTCTTCAACAGTCCCACATTGATTTATTGAGCAGTCACTTGCCGGCGAGTGCGATGGGGTTAATACAATTTGCTCATATTCAATAGAAGACAATATCGATATTATCACAACCAGGGTTAGCATGGTGTTCATCAGATTCTACTTGTGAAGATTGTAGGACGTCTAGTTACATATTGTTCTCCGCTCAGCTGCTAATTGATGTGTCATTTTAATATATAGTTGGGGGCTGTGCTTCTCAATCTGGAACCCATTATCTAAACGTTGTTATTTATAAGTGACTTCTGTCAAATTCAGTATCAGTATTTGGGTATCAGCTATTATCAAATGAAGTTAAGTCAACATTTTTTTTATTTCTTGGTTTATGGATGTGTGTCACTCTTTCAAAGTCCAAATGTTGAAAAAAAATAAAAATAAAAATTACTTCTATTTTATTACCTCTGATTTTCACTTTATAAAATGCATAAAAAGTTCAAACAAAGAAAGATTTTGTTTCCTCGTCGAGTGTAAAGCAAAGGGTAGTCACTCTGATCCTTCAATAATACCATCAAAGCTTGTCAAAGCCAAGCGCAGTGGTGGCCAGTTTAATCCTCGTCCTTGCTGCGTCGTCTTTCATACATTTCACCATGACATGAATATTGTTAGATTGCCATTTGTGCACATGCTGTGTTCCAGGGACAAAATTAATAGTTCTTGAAAAATTGAGTTGTTTTACTTTGTTACTCCAGAATAACTTTTTTTATACCTACCGATATACAAAAGTCAGGTAATAAAATCTGAGAGGTTTTTTTTGGTTGTTTTTTTATTTGCCTACCTCACTTTTGAAATGAGTTTGAAATCTGTAAACCAAGAAATAAAAAATAAAAAATGGCACCTAAAGAGCATTTTATTTTTTCAGTGACTTAGTTAAACTGAAGTGACATTGGTTTTGAATGACTTGTGTTAATTTTGAAATTGTTTTGTCTTCGGTTCATATTTCCAAGTTCTGATATTATTTTATCTTTCCAAACTTTAGAATCTGGAAACCAGTCCCATAGAAAGATATGAAACGATTATGAAAGTTGGAAGCTGGAAGAGAGATAATTAAGTTGTTCATATGTTGTGGCCTGATACAGCCACACTATCCAAACTTGCCACATGTAACTTTTATGTGTCAGAAAACAACTACAAAGTTTTCATTTCCTTTTTATCTTTGATTTGATTCGTTGACAAAATATGTTATCTAAAAAACATGACATTAGTCAGCACTCAGCTAACTCGAGCAGTCCATGGCATGTCTTATTATTTATCCCAAATCAAGAAATAACAATAAACAACCAGCTATTTATAATATCCAGGAATATACATTAAGCCTCGATGACAGTGTTCCATTAGATACATAATCACAAGTCCATGTGATAGCCCCTCAGCAAATAGACAGGAGATTATCTGCCTTGACAGGCCTTGAAACTCAGATTTCATATTATTTGCTGTCTCCACTAAGTTTCCTTGAGGAAACAGATGGCTAACTTCTTGATCAATTGTCTTTTTTGTTGGTGATTAGATCAGATTTGTCTGTTCTTGGACATGTTCGGCTGAGGTCATTTGTAAGTTGTGCAAGAATAATATCAGTGGTGAGGCAAATAGCAGCACATGGGGAGAATCACTTTAAGCATTATCATCACTGTTACTGGGAGTTTCAGGGGCTGATGTCCCATCCGTTCATCACAGTTCTTGAAATTTTGGGGGTATTTTTATGAAATTGTGTGCTCAGAAACGTATCCTCAAAAATATTTGTGATCCCTAACTTTTTTTGTTCAGTATATTTCAAATTTTTGTTTTTGTTATGGTCTATCAAAAGTTGATGAAATCTTAAAAAATGCTCTAATGCCATTTGTCTCTAGAAAAACTACACTGAGCAGAAAATGATAAAACAAGTGTACCATACCTGTCAGAAATCTGAATCAGGTGGTTGAAATATCTTCCTTAGATTTCAGTATTTTATACAAAGATTTGGTGAAAATGTGGTGATATTTAATGAAGGCTAGATTAAATTTATCAATACGGTTTGAATAAGAATTTTTCCTTCCCTAAACATGATAACAAAAATCCAGATGAGGGACAGGTGGGTAAGCATTATAAGCTTCGTTAATGCAGTAAAAATCCATGATGCAAAATTTTCAAAAATGAGGAAGTCTGAGAAACGTGCTTGTTTTTTGTTAATGTGAGAAATTTTCTAAATTTTAGAACTGCAACTGAACTTTTCCAGGATTGTTACTTGACAACTTTGTTCCGATTCTAACAGTCGAGCTGTAAAAACATTCCCACTATGAGAGCGCTGACCATTCTCATCGGCAGATATTTAGAGAAGAAGCATGGTAAATTTGTCAAGTGGCAACTATGCTCATATCAAACACAAGGCATTGATTAATACTGACGATCTAACAAGGGCTTGTTGGCAGGTAAAATAAAACAAACCTACGTGACTATTAGTGTGATCGATGCTGTTTACTAACCCAGTGCACAACAGTTGTTCAGATTAATGGACCCCTGTACCATCAGGATAATGTCAGTCCACGTAGCCCGGGTTGTCGTGTCAACATATTGTATATATACAAGCTGATCATGGTTTGGCTAAGGAAATAAAAAGAATGCTTCCTATAATTGACTTTTTAAGAGTTATTTTTCAGCCACACCTTTTTTGATGATATTGTGTCAAAAGGTTTGCGACCTTGCCTCCGAATCTTATTTTTCTTAATCAAAATGAAATTGTGTCGTTATATCATGTAAGATTGTTAACTAATGCAGGTGGAGTCTGGCATTATAAATATATATTTTAGCCTGTTAGGGATATGATAAAAAAAATTAAGCTCAGTTAGGGTGATTGTGCTTGGAATGTTTACCTGATATAGAGAGAAGTTAATTATCCTGCACAGATTTGTTTTGTTTGTTTGTTTGTTTGTTGGTTGGTTTGTTTGTTTAACGCCACGCTCAACTATGTCACTTCTGATGTATGGATATGGTAATGTGTAAAACTTTGGCCGCGAGTCTGAGGCACCACAGTTCAATATGCAGAGTTGCGTCCCTTGGGCATGCCAGAAACTTGTGATTGTGGTTTGGCATCCAAGTTCATACTGGTTATGTGTCTAGGTTTGTCTGCAGCACACTCATGGGTTCTCCAACGTGGTCAGCTTGTAGGACCTGCATGGCTTTGGGCCGTGCTAACTGCAAAACTGTTCAAAGTGGCGTCAAACCTCTTCATGAACCAGGAAGTGGTGTCGCCTCTTAGTCGAAGGAAAATGTCTGTTGTGAAAGAAACTTGATACCTTAAGGAAAACTTGAAATACATTTTAAGGGATTAACAGTGCAAGGAGCTGTGAAGTATTGAGTACATTTCCAAGTGAAACATTTTTATTTATTTTTTTAATATTTTTTTAAGAAAAGACAATTTATTGAATGTGAAGGCCAATAGCCCAAACTACAGACATACAGATGTTACATTTCTAAGAGCTTCAATTTATGTATACTAGGAGAAAGTACCTAGGGTGAAATTAGTAGTTTTCCGAGTGAAACACAGCAGTACAGCCACTGCCTGATATGTTTCAACTGGTTGGAGTAGTTTGTCACTAGCATGCACTGGAACTTCAAAGGCAGAACCGTGCTCGTGGGTTTCACTGAAGCTGACACACCGGGACAAAACTGGAATACTGTTCAAGGCGGCGTTAAACCCAACCCACTCACTCACTCATAGGCAGAACAAACTGTTTGAAGTTTTTATTGTGAAAATAAGAATACTTCCTCAAATCCTTGGGAAGACCAAATATTTTTCTTTTAGTAAGTGTTGCAAGGAAGTGAAGGCAGGCATTTTGTCTTTTTACTCTGCTTACAATGGCCTCAAGGAAGAGTAAACCAGACATGTCTACCATTTAGTTTGATACCTCAAACGTGGAGACTACATGAAACTCCAATTTATTCGATACCTCAAACGTCCAGAGTATACAAAATCCAGTTTATTTGATACCTCAAACATAGAGACTATACAAAGTCCAGTTTATTTGATACCTCAAATGTCCAGACTATACAAAGTCCAGTTTATTTGATACCTCAAATGTCCAGACTATACAAAGTCCAGTTTATTTGATACCTCTAACCTTTAATTGGAATATACCAGTGTCCAGTGTATTCATGGTATTCGATCTTCTTATTTCTGGATTCTGTGCAAGCCCAGTTGGTTTGCATCATGTGTTGCATGTTGCTGTTGATGTTGTTGTTGTTGTCATTGTGTGTGTTTCTTACAGAGGAGGAGGATTTATGCAACATACTGCCAGAGACACCAGTGCCAGACTATGACATAGACTCACCAGGCGAAAACCTCGACAAGTCCCTCACATTATTCGTTAAACGATTCTCCGGGGTTTTAACCAGCATAAGCTTGATAGGTAGAACAGCGTGATAAACTCTATTTACCTATACTTACCTGTACTTATTCTGTACTAGACTGTAACCTTGTGTGTACATATGTCAAGCTGAACACGTGACCAGGTAATTGGGCTAGAATGCAAAGAATGAGGATGATTTGAAGCAGGTTTCAAATTACTAGCCAAGGATTAGGGTTACCGGTAGTTAGAGACCACAGAAATGTAATGTGAACTAAGTGTCTTATTGACAGTGTTTGTATGATGCAAACATACAAATTTATTGTATTACATCAGACCTATTTTGTAAATATTGGAGTTGAATTTTATTTTTATCAAGCATGAACTGACCTGTAAAATTTTTTCTCAACTGAGAATATGCAGTTCTTAACATAGTGCAGAGTTGCTCAGATAGGTTCAGGTTTGTTGGTAGTTTGTAAAAATGGTTGTTCTTGAGTGGTTTTCACACATATACTACTCTCCAAAAGTTAAGGATCACCCGATCCTTTCAAGTCACTTGTAGTGATGTACTGGAGTTGCTGTCATGCCAGTATCGGGTGATCCTTAATTGTTTTTGAGTAGTTTATATAGCCAAATGAAACCACTTGAAACTTTTCCACTACAAGTCATGTGTTCAGCTGTTGATACTCATCACATGGTTTAGGAATTAACAATATCTCTTATCTTTTCACTCACAATACACTTTTTCAGCCAATTTACTATCTTGCCGTTTTCTCTTCTTTTGCACAATAAATAAAATACACTTTTAGATGAAAATGACATAAACGAAAACCAAAATCATTATAAGCCCATTGCATATATTTTACACACAATATGGCCAGTCATAAAGTCAGAATCAGTGTGTATCTCTGCATCAGGCTTAATTGTTCTAAATACTTTAAACAGTACTACTACAGCCATCTGTCTGTCTTAAGTGATGATTTCTTTCTTTTTCTTTGTTGTTTAACGCCGCACTCAGCAATATTCCAGCTATATGATGGCGGTCTGTAAACAATTGAGTCTGAAACAGACAATCCAGTGATTGAGATCATGAGAATCGATCTACACAATTGGGATACGATGACATGCATCAACCAAGTCAGCGAGCCTGACCACCCAATCCCGACAAGCATAGTTGCCTTTTACGTCAATAATAGGTTGCTGAAGATCTATCCTAACCCAGATCTTCACGGGTCCTTAAGTGATGCATATACATCAGCCGTAGATCTGATGGCCAATAGTGAACAGTCGTCCTACACTGAGGTCCTTTATGTTGCCCCTGATTCCTATACATTGCTATCGACGTGGACCTGTTGTCTGAGTCGGGATCATGAACAACGGGATATCTCTTGACATCTTCTCTTGCAGTTCACAGACCATGCATAGCGTTACAGAGCACGGGGCACCTGCCACTCGATAGTCATTGCCAGCAAAACATATCTCCCTACTATTTAAGGCCACAACAAAGTTCAGATTTGAATCCATGATTTTTTAAATGTGAGGCAGGAGGCAATTACGTTTCACCTTTCAACTGTTAAATGTGAGTAACTGGAGGATGAGGTTCATATGAACCAATGTTTGGTTTGACGATGTGGTGGAATATATTTAGTAAGTTCAGAGGAGAAAATGAAAAGGTACTTGTGAACAGTAAGATGATGTGAGATGGGGGAGGGGGGGGGTTAGAGTAATGAGGTGGTCGTGGATGAAAGTCTAAACATTTATTATGGCCTTAAAAGATACTTATCTCTCTTGCCATAATCAGATACTTAATATATTTATATGTGTATTATGGAAAGGGAGATATGTTTTGTGAAGGTGTTTGATCCCATGGCAAGTCTCTGCAAGTGTTAAGATGTCCATTTTTTATGTGATTCTAACGTTTTGAAAAATGGAAAATATCCGTGTCTCAATGATCTGTTAAACAAGTATCTAAAATTAATGATTTGTCTTCAAGTTTCTGTAGACTGACAAAAAAAATCAAATAATGTTTTGTCGTCTGTCGGCAACGAGAAAACAGCTTTTCACTTAAAACTTCACATATTTCATTCTGATATCATAATATCTTTGATACTATGCAACTCTCTATATGTTGTTCAGATGAATTATATAGTTTTGGACTTCTTACATCTTTTTATACGATTTTGTCTTTCAGCGTGAAATCACAAATCTGTAGTAAAATCATTCACTTTCACAGCTTACACTTGTGTGTAGATATATTAACATCTGTATTCAAACAATAACTGTAGTGAGAGGAATAATCCATTGCATGTTTTTTTAAGTAGACATACAGCTGAAATATTCATTGCTTCCTTCACCTATTTTCTTGTGCACTAGAGCATCAGCCTCAAGCATAGATATTTACATTAGTGCATTCGAATTATTGTAGGTACTGAAGTGTTGTCTCATGTATCCTATGAAATTATATCAATTAAACGAAGACATGAATCTTTTTATGGATAACAACTTCTATATTCTTTGAAACGATGTTTCAGGGCTGCTTCTTGCCCCTTCATCAAGTGATGTAGCCCTGAAACATCAGGCGATAAAGGGTCAAAAAGTAGCCCTGAAACATCAGGCGATAAAGGGTAAAAAAGTAGCCCTGAAACATCAGGCGATAAAGGGTAAAAAAGTAGCCCTGAAACATCAGGCGATAATGGGTAAAAATGTAGCCCTGAAACATCAGGTGATAAAGGGTCAAAAAGTAGCCCTGAAATATCAGGTGATAAAGGGTCAAAAAGTAGCCCTGAAACATCAGGTGATAAAGGGTAAAAAAAAGTAGCCCTGAAACATTAGGTGATAAAGGGTAAAAAAGTAGCCCTGAAACATCAGGTGATAAAGGGTAAAAAAGTAGCCCAAAGTAGCCCTGAAACATCAGGTGATAAAGAGCATGTAGTAGACCTGAATGTCAGGGCGTGGAGCCATCCGACAGATGACATCAGTACCATTAACCTCTTTGGTCATGTGGACAAGGCGTCCGACCTCAAATTGGAAGGTCCGTGGTTTGAATCCCATCACAGGATGTTACAAGAAATAAAGACATTGTTATCCATAAAACAATTTATGTCTTCATGTTCTTCCAACTTCAAAATGCCTATCAAAGATTTAACTGTTTAACGAGTATCTAATACCAGTAATAGGTTTGCATTTCTTTGCTTAATGTATAAAGTTTATTTTCTGGTCATGTAATATTTTTGTTCTAAGTTCATATTTTATATAATTTCAGTAAATCACTCACCACATTTGTATAGTATTGCATGTTGTTGAATGCTAGTAAAATTTAATACCTGTATTGTTGGTAGTCTTCATTTGAATCGTGTCCGATTGTAAGCATCACATCACCTCTGTTACAGATGACCAGAATGCTGATGTGGCAGAACCTGACCCCGACTACCTCTTCGACGATGACGTGTCTGCTGATTCCTTTCCCCCGCCTCCATCACCCCTCAGTCTGGACGGCGGAGACGGCGTCCCCCAGAACGGCCAGTCATTCCACCTCCACACCCCACACCCCCGAGCCCCATCACTGACAGAGGCGGAGTCTGCTGAATCACTTATCCGGCCCAAGAAGTTGGCCAATCCATGTGTTGATTCTCGAGATCGACAAGCTCTGCATCGAGAACTGCTGCTGAACTACAAGCTGTAAGTGTGATTTAGCATTATTACAATGTGAAAATAATATTCTAACAAGAATATACAGTAGAACACGGATATAATGATCACGGATAGAGCGAACAAATGGATACAACGAACTGTTACAAAATCCCCGATTTATCTCCTATATTTTATCATATAAAATTTACGTGCATAACAAACTCAGAGTCTACAGTGAACTGATATCTGATCCCCGACAAGCTCAAATACCACTAATTAGTGACGTGTATAGCAAACTGAGAAATCTCACTCAGTGCCAGTTGTAACTGACAACTGGCTGTATGCGAATCAACACAATCATGGCGAATCAACACAATCATGGCGAATCAACACAATCATGGCGAATCAACACAATCAGCGGTGATGATTCCACATAGTTAAACTTGCATTATGTTAATCTTACCTGTACATGTAATTGGACTAATCTTGTCTGTAAAACAAACATTAAACATATAAATTTCACGGGATTGTGTCAGAGTGTCAGTTCACGCTATGATGTAAATCGTATGTAAATTGTGAAATGTTAAATACATATGTACATGTACTTGTTCTCAAAATGTTATGAATTTAATGTTGGCGGATGTTTCCGAGCGAAAACGTATATAACAAACTCCTTTCTCAGTGCCTTGTAGTTCATTGTTGATAACATGTCAGTCCTAACTATGTTGTGTGATGTTTACATTCAAGTGAACTGGAAGTGACCTCTGAACTTGACTACGAGTGCTCATGCGTGCACCGTAGCTCAGGGGTATTGATGGGTAAAACAGGAGGAAGTAGAGTGGTTACAAATGGCTGGGATTTGACATGAACTTTCTGTGTTATATTTTATGAATATTATAAAATCCTGAAGGGTAGAATAATTCTGATGTTGATGTTTGCAAAATCAAGTTTCGAGCAAATTCAAATTGCCAGTGTTATGTGTCAAATGTCTGAAAGGAATCCCTAACAATTTTGCTTTTTGAACATGTTGAACGGTAGGTACACACGTCCATAAAAACATCAACTCCAATGTTGTACCATTATAGGTTGGTGTTGGGAAACATGTACCAATATTATTGACATGACACATAGGTGTTAAGAAAGATGGATTCAGAAACTAGACATGATAGAATGGTGTTAGGAAACATGTACCCCTGTTATAAACATGATAGAATGGTGTTACGAAATGTACCAATATTACAGACAAAATTGATAGTTGCTGTGATCCCGTTCATCGGTAATTAGAAGTTTTTGCCGGTAAAATTAGGCTTGGACTGGTAATTCATGTGACTGCCAGTCTCTGTGGACCGGTAAATAAAGTACCTTCTAAATCTGTGATATTCATATAAGTATATTTTCTGAATGAAGTCAGCTTGTCTGTTACCATGAGGGTTTCCGCTTGTCAAATTTATAGTGCAAGGAAATAACGTTTCGCTTTGCTTCAAGGTTAAAAATATATAAAAATATACTTCGTCTTGAAATATTAAAAAAAGAAGAGAAAATTGTGACTGAACCTTGTGTGAATAACGTGTAGATCTAACTAAGTCACTTCAGAGATGACGATGGCGATGTTGAAAGAATTATGACCAGGTAATTTTCATACGTTTTTTTATTTGTTGAATGTGGGACTGACAAAAGTTACAGGGGACTGGTAATTTTTAGAGGGGACTGGTAATTTTAAGAGTTACCAGTTCACCAGGACTGGCAGTTTCAAAAGCCAGTGGGAACACTGAGTTGTTAGGAAACATGTACCAGTATTATGAACTTTATATATTCCTGCTCTGTTTCAGAGGTAAGAATGTCCTGCAGAAGCCGGAGTTGAGCAGGAAGATGCTGGACCGGAGGCAGACGCAGAAGAAGAAGGAGTGGGAGGAGCAGATGAACAACAAGCGCACCAGCTTCGAACTCAAGATGGAGGAGAGAGCCACCAGACTCAAGGAGGTATGTTGTGTCAGCTGTCTGCCGTCCATACACTGGTCCATACACTGGTCCATACACTGGTCCATACACTGTGGTCCATACACTGTGGTCCATACACTGTGGTCCATACACTGTGGTCCATACACTGGTCTATACACTGTGGTCCATACACTGGTCTATACACTATGGTCCATACACTGTGGTCCATACACTGGTCTATACACTGTGGTCCATACACTGGTCCATACACTGTGGTCCATACACTGTGGTCCATACACTGGTCCATACACTGGTCCATACACTGGTCCATACACTGTGGTCCATACACTGTGGTCCATACACTGGTCCATACACTGTGGTCCATACACTGGTCCATACACTGGTCCATACACTGGTCCATACACTGGTCCATACACTGTGGTCCATACGCTGTGGTCCATACACTGGTCCATACACTGTGGTCCATACACTGGTCCATACACTGGTCCATACACTGGTCCATACACTGTGGTCCATACACTGTGGTCCATACACTGGTCTATACACTGTGGTCCATACACTGGTCTATACACTATGGTCCATACACTGTGGTCTATACACTGTGGTCCATACACTGGTCCATACACTGGTCCATACACTGTGGTCCATACACTGTGGTCTATACACTGTGGTCCATACACTGGTCCATACACTGTGGTCCATACACTGTGGTCTATACACTGTGGTCCATACACTGGTCCATACACTGTGGTCCATACACTGTGGTCTATACACTGTGGTCCATACACTGGTCCATACACTGGTCCATACACTGTGGTCCATACACTGTGGTCTATACACTGTGGTCAATACACTGGTCCATACACTGTGGTCCATACACTGGTCCATACACTGTGGTCCATACACTGGTCCATACACTGCCGTCCATACACTGGTCCATACACTGTGGTCCATACACTGTGGTCCATACACTGTGGTCCATACACTGGTCCATACACTGTGGTCCACACACTGGTCCATACACTGTGGTCCATACACTGTGGTCCATACACTGTGGTCCATACACTGGTCCATACACTGTGGTCCATACACTGTGGTCCATACACTGTGGTCCATACACTGTGGTCCATACACTGTGGTCCATACACTGTGGTCCATACACTGGTCCATACACTGTGGTCCATACACTGTGGTCCATACACTGGTCCATACACTGTGGTCCACACACTGGTCCGTTCACTGTGGTCCATACACTGTGGTCCATACACTGGTCCATACACTGGTCCGTTCACTGTGGTCCATACACTGGTCCATACACTGGTCCATACACTGTGGTCCATACACTGGTCCATACACTGTGGTCCATACACTGTGGTCCATACACTGTGGTCCATACACTGTGGTCCATACACTGTGGTCCATACACTGGTCCATACACTGTGGTCCACACACTGGTCCATACACTGTGGTCCATACACTGTGGTCCATACACTGTGGTCCATACACTGGTCTATACACTGTGGTCCACACACTGGTCCATACACTGTGGTCCATACACTGTGGTCCATACACTGGTCCATACACTGGTCTATACACTGTGGTCCATACACTGGTCCATACACTGGTCTATACACTGTGGTCCATACACTGGTCCATACACTGGTCTATACACTGTGGTCCATACACTGTGGTCCATACACTGGTCCATACACTGTGGTCCACACACTGGTCCGTTCACTGTGGTCCATACACTGTGGTCCTTGGTGCCGTTGAACAAAGCAATCTTAGCGTTTAGGTGATTGTAACTCCCATACCTTAATATTGACATACAACAGTCGTAGCGCTAAGGTTGTTTTGTACAACGGCACCCTGCTAGATTATGGATATGGAGAGTAGATTACCCCCTTCCTACGTCACTACACTCGAACCTTTTCAATAGAATCTGGATAATTCTTATGAATCCTCTACCTCTATTACGTCATTGCGAAATTCCTGTATTTTATCTGCAATCACACGAAACTAAACTTTCAGATTTTCAACAGAAGTTCTCTTCACTGCCAACTGTACAATAATTAGTTGTACACAACATAGCACCCAACAGACCACAGTGCTCTTGTGCATGAAGGCGGGCAAAATCTCACTTCTTTCCTGTGTCTGCTAGAGTCAACGTCACTGCAGTCAAACCTTCTTAATAGAATCTTCATAACTTGAGAGAAGGGATCAGTAGATGTTGTCCTTAATTCATGATCATTTGAGGGCACAACAGAAACCTATGTGGGTTCGAATCCCAGTTCGCCCCAATTATGCTTCTAGGTTTGTCAGCACCCTACCTGTGCTCATGGGTTTCACTGAATTGGTAAATGTCTGAGACCTGCATCACTTCGGGCTTTCCTCACACACTAAGCTGACACGCCACGATATAACTGTAATAATGTTAAAAGCGGCGTTATACCCAACTCACTCACCCACTCATTCACTCACTCATGATCATTTGAAACCAGACACTAGATTTGTGTAAGTTGACAAGATATTTTCTTGGTTCCCGTGCTGTATGCTCAAATTAATTGTTAAACGAAGATGGACATTGTTATGCAAACAGTCCGATGTGGATGTCTGGTCATAGCAACAGGTCAGCCAATGAAACCATCTGGAGACAAGACATGTGCCTCAATGATTGGTCATCAATCTTTACTCATTGGTAGCATTGGTGGCCAAGTTTTGGGTGCTGCAATTTGCTGTTCAAACCTTATTGTAGGTTCAAATCCCAGTTCATCCTGATTATGTTATTTGTCAGCACCAAACCCATGCTGGTGTGTTTCAGCAAGGGGTAAACGTCACAGATATCTCCATACTTTCCTCCAAGGCTAAAAAAATAATAGTCTGGGTTCTCCGGCACTGTCCGCATCATCATAAAGTCCACCGCACGTTTCGTTTTTATATTTTCATAAAAATCTTTAAATATTCCAAGTCCTATGGGTATTCCAGTAAATTGTTCATCCAGGAATACATTTATGAGGACGGGGCGTCACGTCCACCGTGAGGACAAGGTGTCACGTCCACCGTGAGGACAAGGCGTCGCGTCCACCGTGAGGACAAGGCGTCGCGTCCACCGTGAGGACAAGGCGTCGCGTCCACCGTGAGGACAAGGCGTCGCGTCCACCGTGAGGACAAGGCGTCGCGTCCACCGTGAGGACAAGGCGTCGCGTCCACCGTGAGGACAAGGCGTCACGTCCACTGTGAGGACAAGGTGTTATGGTGATGTTTGCTTTATCTTACAGGAGGAGCAGAAATCCATGACTACAATTTCCGAGACATCTGGAGGTCCTGAACTGATGAGGATGCATGCCAAGATTACACACAAAGAGTGAGAACCTCGGCATGTTTCTGAAGGAGTGATCAGCTTGGCCCATCCACACGAATTGTTTGAGAAACGTTCAGCAGGGACATAGACGTTGCCAAGCAGTTATGACATAAACAGTACATTGACATCCGCGTCCAACGGAGACATGCTTATACACATCCAGGACAGGTTAGTTGGCCTGCATACAAGGCCATGGACATGAGAGACCTTGGAGGAGGCCATTGTCCTTGTACTCACATTTCAGTCAGATAGGAACTGATATCAAGATTAAGGAAATAGTTTATATGGAACTTGACGACACAGACTTGTATGAGAGCGTGTGCAGATCTCATCCCAGCAGTGGAATCATGCAAGACCCAACTCTGCAAGGACCATCCCTGGACTGTCGAGGCCAAGGACGAGTGCTGTGGTTGGGCATCAGTGAACAATGACCCACACTCCTGGTGGCACATATGACCTATCACATGACCTATCCCACGACCTATCACATATCAGTGGATGTGCAAGTATTTCATTTGGTGCGACAGTGATGTGATGCCTTTATTTTCTTCCTTGGAGGTTGTTGTCATGAGATTTGCCATGTCTGTTTTTGGCCTGTTAATGAGTTCTTTGATCCGTCATTCCCCTAATAATGGTAAACACAGACTGGGAGATTGAGCTGGCAAAACTGCAGAGTGTGTACAGCTCAGATGTCTTGGAGGTGACTCTGGGATATGACTCTCCACCGTGTTCATGGATCTGCTCCTGAGAAGCTGCAGCTGTAGCAGCTGGAGCAGCTGGAGAACCATAGTGAGGGACCAATGCATAGCGAGATGGTATTTGTAGCAGATGTATGAATATGTAAGAATGATGTTTGTGCCATGATTAACAAGACTGATGATGTGTCTAATTTGGCAAACCTCAGATTCCAAGCATGTATGACAATGTATGTTGCAGTTTACACTCTACAAGAAATGTTCAGTGAATAGTCCAGCATAGTCAACTTAATTGGGATAAGTGCTCTTTCTGATCTGATTATGGAGACCATTACCCTCACAGTTTGAAGATAAGACGTTTAATGAAGTTACTGTTTAAATTGATCAAACTGGGATTACGATCTCAGCGCAAACAGGACCACATCAACTTATAATTGCTGAATGAAGCTTGTCAATGTGCCAAACACAGTCAAGGGGACATAACTCTCACTACACATCCTTTAGCCAGTCACTAAACACAGCACAGTGTTAACAAGGGAGGGAACTCCTGCATGGTCAGTAGTCCACTATCACGTACTGCACATATTTGTCATATTGTGGGTTAGTTTAATAAGCAGTGTTCCCCTTTATGTCTATTTGGAAATGTGTTGACATTGAAATAACTTCTAAGTTATCAGTGGTTATGTAGTAATTTTACATATTAAATTTTCTTGTTCATATTTGACTGTGTCTAAATGATTTCTATATTTTAATCCATCAACAATCAAAATAATTTGCGGCTGAAATGTTGCTGTAATTTGCAGTGGGAAAATATTGTGACCACTTTAAGGGTATTAACCACTCAGATTGCATCAGTGTTAAGATTTAAGCTGAATGTAAGACACTGCTTCAAAGATTCTGCTTAAGGCCTAGTGCTAGCATACAGCTTAGGCCTTCCATTTTATTGGTTCATTTACAGATCCCTTAATAATCGAAAATTAAAATAAAACATAAAATCAGGATAACAAGTTTTTGTATACTGCCGACGGTGAAGATGTAGTTTAAGATAATTTAAAAAAATCTTTACTATGCATTTTTTTAAAAATCCTAACAAACATTTTTGGCCTCCAACCAGACTTTTGACAATCAAATTCCGTAAACCAAAAAAGAGAAGTCAGCTTTTATTGTGTTATAACTACAATGTATGTTGCAGGTTTTTGTGAAAAGTTTGCTGAGTATAAAAGTGAAAGTGTGTATGTGTCAATTTTTAACGTGTGTGGTTTCTTTGATGTTTAACACATGCTCATTGATCAGACAAATGTTGGGGCATTAAAAATGATAAATAATGAAAATAAATATTTCAGCATCACAATACGATACATCACAATACATTCCAAAAACACCAATGTTTTGTCGCCATATGTTTTTAAAAGTCAAATATTTTATGACATAACACTCAACTTGTAACAAAATTCATTGATCAACAATAAAAGTAAACTTACAACATGTTAAGAGGTGACATGGGTGGTGAACATAATACGTGACCTACGGCACTGATGATGTGCGACCCACGATCACATGCAAGCCACTCCATCATTCATGACATGTTTTCCCATATTAATAGAACAAGCATAGAACATTTGAATAGCAACACAACATGCTCCACAACTAAGACACAACCGTCTGCTTCTCAGTGAATAATATTTCAGTGTCAGCATCTTTCTTCACTAAATTACACAGGAATGAAATTTTAATTTTTTGTCAAAAAAATTAAAATTGACCTTTCATTCAAGGCTGATTAAATCTTTCAGATATTTTTCCCTTTGAAAATATGAATTCCACTTGCTTTGATGATACTTAAATCATCATAATTCTATTGGGGAACATTTTTTATGCCAAGTGTAGCAGTCCTTATTGTATTTTGGTCTTTACAGAACCTGGCCAAATATTTTCCCCTCTGTGGTTAGGTACTTACTAAATACAGTGTGGTCTTCATTTCACTAGCCCTTTGAAAACTGACTATCCACAAGCTGGCAGCCCACCTTAAATTTCTAGTGCTGTCTATATTCATCTGGAACTAATCAATATGGGAGGCAATAGATCAATGTTGTATGATTGAATGGAACTAGTTGCCAGGTAAACGACAGAGGGTCCTGATGGAATTGTGATATAAGAGTGATAACATATCGTAGTATAGAACATGTTATATATTTTAGTTAACAAATAAAGCTATTTATTTACAGTGTTGCTAACAGAGGTCATTTCCCGACTCATATATACATACTCAACGGCACTGGGCCCACGCTGCTGTTGTAGCACTGCACAACGTCCAGGCTTTAGTCCATGTAGCTTCACCATATGCCAAAGTCACTGTGCAGAGTTGCTTCCCTTAGCTGTGTCACGATCTGCTGATAGTAGTTCCAATCCAAATAGGGGCTCTAATTCATCAGCTACATATACACCCACAAATATCTGGAGCTGAAGTCATGACCAGTAAGTGGTTGTGTGATATGGGGTTTTCATTACCGACTCAAAAATGGTGTCAGGAGCCAGCTTTTAAATGGATGTGGTTTCTGTGCTATCAGCTATAACTGATGTCACTTTCATGTTATTGAGACAATGGGTAAATTGGCTTTTAAATTTGCCGAATATCTTTTATTCATTTTTTCAATATCAGTTCGTTATAAACTTATTAACAATAAAGGCCTTATTAACTGTCTAGGATTTCAGGGGTGAACGTTTATGACATGCTTTGCTCTGTGCCTCACTACCACACATGATCACCTGTAACAGTGTTCAAAGTGGCGTTAAACACTTCTCAAGATATAGCAATCGGTGCAAGTAAGAGGGACAAGTCCCTATACATAGCCATAAGATATCTCTGCTACATGCAGTGTCCATGGTATGATTCTGATTATATTATAAGCCTGTGTTTATGAGTCGGTATGAAGTAGGGATGTTTTTTGCAAAATGTGTGCTTATCTTTCCCCATGGGTGGTACTCATCACAAACATGTCATCTCTTTTTATTGACAAACCCTTGATCCCCAAACTGTGTTAATCTGCTAAAGTGATGACAGATGAGGGTCAATTGTGAAAGATATTTTGTGAAACTACATGGATTAAAACAGCTCTGGTTAAGTGGCTAATTGTCATTTCATATGCTGTACATTAAATATTTTGAATTTCATGGCTCTTTTTCCATTTATGTTGCATTTGATAACACTTCATCAGGTATAATAAATTGTTTGGTATTTCTAACTACAGTACTTACGCAGCATAATCTACAAGAGATGTTTGTGTGGGCATTATTAATGTACGTGATGACTGGACGAATAGTTCCAGATTATTTTCCCCTTATTATCAGCCTCAGTCTACCTGATGTCTTGCTCCATCAACTGCAACATAAATATCCCAGGGGTTCACGTGATGTATAAAACCAACAGCACGTGTGGTCACGATCATTCGTGTATTTTACGGCCATCTAGAAATTATTAGAATTTAGAACATAGTAATAATTCTAGTTATATCTAGTTCATATCTAGTTAATGTCTATGGAAACATCTAGTTATTTATTTGGATAGTTGTTGCATGTTTTAAGTCATGTGGATGAGAGATGAGTTGTATTGAGGGTGATAGTACACGGGCAAAATGGTGGCACACTGTCACGTCGCGTCACGCCACGCCACGCCACGTCACATCACGTCACATGCATGCTGAACTACACTACTAAAGACATACATGAAATAAAACTTTCGGGTTCATAGTTAATTTATATTCCATGGAATAGGAAAATTGTGTTGATTTTTATCCAATATAAAACTATGACGCAAGGAGTTAAAAATAGCATCTGATTGGCTGGTTCATCTGTGAAACTGTCTGATTGTCTTAGTTCCGACTTTGTCTGCCTACAGCACATAGTTCTCTTGTCAGTCTAGATGTTGTCTGCAATGCAACGTCAAGAAAAGATATGTTATGTTTCCCATTTAACTATATTTTGTGTTCTAACATTACATGTATTTTGCACTGAAATACCCAACCCAACTCAATATACCCTTTATAATGTGTACATGTGTCTATGTATCTCAACATAACCCATGCTCATAGCCGTACAGGTATTACTTCGGTCAGCAGATCGATTCTCAGCTCCATGGGGAGTATGTGGAACTGATTACGCTTTCATACAGAGGCATGTTTAACAAATTACCCATGCGCCCAAGACTTCATCAGACTTTACAACGTATTTCAAGCTGGGTAGGCAAGGTCCCGTGGAAGCAACACACTACCTTGTCAGACACACTGCTTGCACCTTTGAGTGTCACAAGAGCATTGTGGCCTTCTGTGAAGTCAGTCGACTGCATCTGCTGATTATTTACTGGACTGTAGCCATTATTGTGTATTCCCAACATGCTGCTCATGTGCGGCACCACACCAGTGGCGCCATCTATGGCTTAAACTGACTGCATCTGCTTATCACTGTCTTGACTGTCACTAGAAGCTGAACGCCGACCTCAAAGAGATTTCTACCATGACAACTCCCCGACTACCTGTTGATGCAAGTACTGAGAACATATAACATCATATACTGTATCACTTTCTTCTGTTGTGTTAGTTTGGATATTGTTATTGTTTGTTTTGCCCCCTGAGGTCATGGTACGGGAGTGTAGGGTTTACATGTTCAATGTTGTTGAATCGTACCCACTGACGCCAGGTCAAGATGGCTGAGGTATAAACATCCTTGTCAGGCTGAAAAAGGGAAATGTTTCTCAGGCATCGGTGTGTTACCATGGTTACCATTAATCCTGCCCTTCAGTCGTGCTGACTGCCAATAAAAGACGAATATTTTTCATATTTTTCCATGTCATATGAAACATACTCTGTTATCCATAAAAGTAAATGCTCCACATCTGACATTGTGTGAAAGAGATGTGTGCTTTGTGTTTCTTGGTATTCTTGGTGGGGGGAAAGAAGTGTTCCTCCCACGTCACTTTTGTTTTCAATAAAAAATGAAAACGTAGTCGTCCCCACTTTTGTTACAAATGTGCCTGAGAAGCCCTTTTTTATGCAGCCGAAGTTTGCCTACCTATATACTTTGTTTTTTTTCCTGTGTATCATCTTATATTACCATTATTGATGTTGTTCTTATTATTTTGTGTTGTCTGGATTATTTACTCTGTTCAGTTAATTAGTTTCAGCTGCTCTAGCAGTAAAGTCGTGCATGTTCTTTGTAATTACCATGTTAATCCTTCGTATACTTAATTGGTAGATATTTTCCAAATGTTTCCGTGACATTGAGTTGATGAGTGAAAGTACAACGGGTAATGCAAAAATAATCTTATCTCAGTCAAGAAATGACTTGGAATTCAAGATGGTTTGATGGGTGTACTGATTATCTTTTAAGTGTTTTGGTCTTTAATGTTTACACTGCGTTTATGTGTCTTTGTGCAAGGACAAGAGACATGAAAAACACACATCCAGTTACCATGGTTACCTTTGTCAAGAAACAGTTTGGAATCAAGTTCACCTCTGTAGCTCACCTTCCACACCGTAATCATCCTACATGTTCTCTGGACCCGTGAAGATCCCGGTCAGAATAGGTCTTCAGCCACGCTTGCCGTAAAAGGCGACAATGCTTGTCAAAGAGGTGACTAACAGGTGGTCTGGCTCACTGACTAGGTTGATGCATGTCATCATATCCCAATTGCATGGATCCATGCTTATGATGTCAATCACTGGATTGTCGAGTCCGGACTTGATTATTTACAGACTGCCGCCATATGGCTGGATATTGCTGACTGCAGCGTTAAACAACAAGAAAACAAACCTCTTCTGTCAGTTTCTGTTGGACATTACAGGGGAGTGCTTGTCTAGGATTGTCTTGCACATCCCTCTGTGTTAACTGGATGTCCATTTCCCACCTTGGTCTGGTCAATATAATTAATTACAGACATTTCTCCATGTAATTAGGGTCACCATTAAATGTTAAATGCCTCTGCATCATAAACATTGTGCTGGCAGACAAACATGTGCTTTGAGGCACTTAATCAAATTGCGATGTTAGATAATCTGTGTAGAACTGTTGTCTTGCACTTGAATCAGATTGCTGGGTTTGCCAAATAGCCAGAGGTTAGTCCCCCTTTAAAGAAGTCCATCTTGAGCATAGTAATAATACCCTCAGGGAACGTCCCTTCACAACAGACTGACTGTCCTTGCTGATGCGAAGTAGCTTGTTTCTGCTGGCGAATCTCTTCTGCCTTCATGTCGTGTACTGCACCACCTCATCATGGAACTGGTCCTGCACTGAAATAGGATGTGTCCATTCTTTGGCCCAGTGGTTAGGGTGTTTGCTAGTCATGCTGTAGACTTGGTTTGATTCCACAAAATACATTATGTGAAAAAAACAAAAAAACTTTCCATAATCATAATTTCTTTGTATGATTCCGATTATATCATGAGCATGTGTTTATGAATCATGATGCAAACTCCATGTTTGGTAACCTCTGTTGTGATGTGGGTGGAATATTGGTAAATGTCGAGTTAAACTGGTCCTCCTCACTCAACCATGGTGAGACATTGCCTAGGACATATACTCATAGAAGGAAATAAGGGAACAGCTAAGGGAGTCATGTGTTCAGCATGATGTTCTGTCACCATGACGATCTGTATACAGATATAAGATAACAAGAGACTATCTGACAATGTTGTGGACACATCAGGAACTTAATTTTCACTCTGTGATTGACTTTTCACTAAAAATGTTTTTTTGTTTATTTTTATCTGCAAGATATTTAAATATTGTACCTTAAATGGTACCATTGCAAACCCAGAAAAACGAATTATGAATTTCAATTCACGAAAATGGATGTTATGAGTTTGGACACGTGCTTGTTTCAAGACGGACCTAGTTTCAAGATGATATGGTACATACTATCAATGCCTTTGTTATATGATTTTGTCATCCAAAACTAGATTCCACAGGAGAATTCACTTGTGTTAGATCAAGCGATATCTCCTAGGAGATATCGCTGCAATGAAATTGGATCACAATGCTTTACCATTGTGACATCATCAGTTACCATGTCGTCACCAAAACGACATCACTAATCACTCTGCCACTGAAGCTGGTGAGCTGACGCTAGTTGTTACTGTTTACAAACTGAAAAAGTTGGATGAATGATTTTGGATGACAATTAAAATCTGAATCGTCGATAGAAATTAGAACTCCTCCGCAGGCTTCTGAGTTTTAGATGTTTATCGACTCATGTTGATCTATTTGCTGTCACGAGACATGAGGGTGAGCTTCTCTGAGTTTTAGGTGTTTATCGACTCATGTTGATCTATTTGCTGTCACGAGACATGAGGGTGAGCTTCTCTGAGTTTTAGATGTTTATCGACTCATGTTGATCTATTTGCTGTCACGAGACATGAGGGTGAGCTTCTCTGAGTTTTAGGTGTTTATCGACTCATGTTGATCTATTTTTTGTCACGAGACATGAGGGTGAGCTTCTCTGTGTGGCTCCACTCTTCCCCAGCAGTGAAGTCATTTCTCCTTCCATCGTGTATTCAGTAAACTACGGATATAACGAACTGTTGTATTTGGCCCCGGCCATTTGCGGCATCCTTTAGTTGAATCGCTTATAAGAAACTACGATTATAACGAACAAAAACTATCGGTCCCATTGAGTTTGTTATAACCAAAGTTTACTGTACATTATATTGTTTCCTCCGCCTTTGTTTAGACTAGCAATTTGTTTATTGCTGTTGTGCTGGGATATCTCAGTTTCTTCCCTTTCTGTCCACCCATGTGTCTGTCTCGCCTTACTTCCACATGGCTTCCAAGCTGTGTACAGAGAACCAACAGCTTCCTGTGACCGGCAGCTAGACACTGTCAGCAAGGTCAAGGACACACCTTCGTCAACAAAGTTCTTCAGATTAAGTGGCTCAGTTTTAAGTAGGCGGCCTCGGACATGTATTTTTATGCGTTTCTTCTTACAGATGCGATATTTTTTTGTTGTTCAAAATTTGACACAGGTTTGTAAAATGTTTTCCAGAAATTGTGTGTTGTACTTCCAGATATTATATAACAATCAGAAATTAGTGGTGTTCACAATAAAAAAACCACTTACCATTTTGGACAAAAAGTGTAGTGGGTTATATGGTTGACTGGGGTAAAATAAATCTTAGGGAGAG